TGAGGGTTTTAGGGTTGAGGGCTTTAGGGTTTTGAGGGTTTAGGGCTTGTAGGGCTGGGTGTAGCGTGGAGGTTAGGGTATGAGGGTTTAGGGTTTGTAAGGCTGTAAGGTCTAAGGTTTAGTGTGAGGATTAAGGTTTGAGGGGTTAAGGCTTGTACGGCTGTAAGGTTGAGGGTTTAGTGTGGGGATTAGTGAAAGTGTTTAGGCTTTGGGGCTTGAGGTTTAGGCTGTTGGTGTTTAGAGCCCGTGTGATGTGGGAAGCCTCGACTCTCGAGCCACAGCAGATTTAGCCTTGCAGGTTGTGGGGGAAGGGCGTGTTCGGGCAAAAAGATGGGGGCTTCAGCCAAGAAAGGACTCTAAGCTAGTCCCGAAATTGTAGCATGGTGATATAGTTATCACTCTCCCTAGACCCTAAACCCTAAACCCTAAATAAAAGGGGCACCGAAGGAGGGGATCCCACCCACTTCTGAAACCACTCACTCGAGGAGGGAACAAAGCTGCTGGGAAGCTTGGTCTTTAAGGGCCTTATCTAAAGGTTTTTGCCTCCTACTTATCTAAAGATTTAGGGGTTAGGAGTTTAGGGGTTTCGGGGTTTCGGGTTTAGGGGTTTAGGGTTTGGGGTTTAGGGTTTAGGGGAGATGGTTCCTTGCTTCTTTGGTGCGTTTGTTGGCTTTGGGTTTGGGTTCTGAGTCTTCTGGAACAGCGTCCCATGATCTGTCCAGCAGGGTGCTGGGCTAGAGGCTTTCGACTCTTGTGGGCCGGAGGGGCGGGGAGTTCAGTTTTGGGGGTTGGCGTTTGCTGAGTTGCTGCAGAGGAACCTATGCTACAGTATATACCGAAAATTATTGGCCACCGTTCAGAGATTCCTCAACAAGAGCCACAAATCGGACCCAAATCCATTCTTGAAGTTGGGCTTTCAACGGTTTGCTGGACAGGCACGGCTGTCCTGATGAGGTCCTCTCCGGGGAAGTTTGAAATGTCCTTGTTCAGCAGGCTTTGGTCACACCCCAAAATGAATTCCCTAAACCCTCAACCCTCATTGAGGGCCTGGGGGTGGGGTCTTGAGGGAAGGGGTGCCTCGGACCTTGGCGATCTGGAATGCAACTTGCTTGTGGCCTTCATCATGAGGTTTTAGGGTCTAGAGGAATAGTGCCAGCACCAATACCAACAAACAATGGCTTAACCGACCCTCATCACAACATCAAGTGCCTCTTTCCGAATACTGTCGGTAATTATTCCGACCCCCATATTCCAGACTTCGGGCTGCGAGTTTCATCAAGCAAAAGACCCGCAACCGGGATCCCAAATCCAGGGAATCACCAAACAAGCCTGTACCCTTTAACTATACTGAACTTAGACCCCTAGCAAAAATTATAATTTTAGCTTCTTCTTAGGGTTTATAGTAGCCGAAGATTAAAAATTATTTCTAAGTACCCCTAAGTTAAATCAAGACACCGCATTAAAGCCCAGAATTGCTGGTCTGGGGGTCATCCTTGAAGTCTCGGCCACATGAGCCGCTCAGAACACACTTTAGACGCCTACATAGCACGAGAATTATAGGTGGAGTGTGCATGATGCAAATGTAGGAACCCCGGCCGGGCGTCTAAACCCCTAACCTGGACCTCTAAACCCCGAAACCGGCTGAAGACAACAGTTCGATAAGGATTGGGGACGTCTGCCGCTTCTAGGATGTCAACCGAAAAACTCGGCCCGCAAAGGCTTTACTCCGGGACGAGACAGGTGTCTAACAAGGTGATCTCGACCTTGGTGAACTCGATGTCCAGATTGTCAAGCCCCGCGCTGATGGAGTCGTCATCTTAGCTGTCACGCAATGCCAAACTGAATTTACACCCAAGCAGTGCAACGCTATGCATCCGGTATCTCATCTCGACGGCTAGTGTTGATGGCGCAGCTGCCACTGATGTCACGCTGATCTGTGTTGACATATGCATCTCGTAGAGGTGGTCGTCCTCGTAGTGGTGGTAGCAGCAGCAGCAGCAGCAGCAGCAGCAGCAGTTGCAGCAGCTAGCCGTAGCCACAGTGTGGCAGTAGCTGTGGCAGCATCTGCCGCCGTAGTGTAGCAGTAGGAGTAGGAGTAGAAGCAAACATTCACAGCCCGAGCGACTCCTGGCTCACATCCATTGAGGAATCGAGCATTCGAGCATGTAAGCCGGTTTAGGGTTTAGGGTTTAGGGTTTAGAGTTTGTGTTCAGGAAAGCCGAAGGTTAAACGTTAAGATTCTGTAGGGGTTGTACTGAGCGACTTTGATGGCTCGCCTGCGCAAACACCAAGAACGAACCAAAAGGCTGGGCTCTTGTTGCGGAACCTAATTTTGTTAACCCACCATAGTAGGGATCTATCGCAGATAATATGGTTCTCAATTATGGCAACTTAAGATAAATCCCTTAACAAGAAACCAGAAGAACTGCAATGGGTCTTCATGCCGACTTTGTGGAGAATCCCGGCTTGGCAATGCCACGAATCTGCCCCGGAAGATCACATTGCGGAAGAATGTTAGGGTTACCATTTTAGGGTTTCCACGGGAGGAGCTTCATGATATGAGCAACCCGCAAGCATAGAAATCGCGTCGAGCAGCATCCACCAAACAGCCTGCCAAAGTTGGCTTTGCCCCATGCCACCCTGAGCTGAGTGGGCTCTAAAGGGCTGCAGGCATATGCATGTCTATTATCTTCATATGTGGTTATGGACTGATGGAATGGCATACTACAACGGCCAATTGAGTTTCATGTGCCACCTGCAGCTGCTGCATGTGTAGCGTAGGGCAAGAAACGTGCGGTGCACAGTCACGTCTTCCGCATCTATCTGGGGCTGCCGCTGTAGAACACAGCTACCAAAATAGAACAAGTGCAACTTGGCTTGTTCGGGAATTTTAAGGAACAGCATTACTATCTATTTCTCAGGCCCCCACAGCAGGCTACAGCACCCTGATCCCAGAAACAACTCAACACCGAAGTGAAGCATTACAGTTCGATCTCAGGCAGCCTCGGCCCACTTCTTGCCTGCTTTGAGCCCGCACCCCTTAGCCTCGTTGAGCCTAAACCCCTAAATCCTAACCCCTATAAACCCCACCCTGAAACCTGATCGGCCTCCCGAAATCTTAACATCTTGATCCTAGATTCCAAGATCCTTGACCCTAAAGCCCTCAGCCTGCAACACGAGGGCTGAAATACTCTTGCTGTTGTTGTGTTGGGTGATTTCTGTACAGCAATCTCAGAGAGCTCAACACCCCTTAGGCACGGAACATGGCTAAGCCTATTGGCTACCGCGTGGAAGATGGCTAAGCCTATAGAAGGTTGAATCTTAGAATGTAAGATACATCCCTGGCTCAGGCACATTTGGACTCTCTGGGATTAGATGATTAGTTGAAGGAACCTTAAGAGACAGCCCGAAACCCCGCCAAGATGCGGCAAGGGCGCCTTCTCGTGGGTCGAATTTCTCGTTTACGCTTGCGGCTTCTGTCTTTTTGGATTTGCACGGCTTACGTGTGCGGATAGCTTCTTTGCGACTTTATGCGTTATTAACGCTTTTCGGTTTCGGGCTACGGGTTTAGGTGGGTAAGAGGAGCTGTACACACTCCGTTTTCGTTGTCTTTGAGCTTGGAGCATGTAGGCTCGAGCTTCATGCTCTTTAAAGTTTAACCCTCATCACCCCCGCAGTTCCTTGAATTTTATCCGACCCTACCTCATATTTAGTAAAATGTCCCACTGTAGTCCACGCATATACTTCCCATCCCACTGCCCTAGTACAGCCTATACAGCCGTTTCGAAACCCTCTCAAGGAATATTCCAAACAATCTCCGCGTCTTCCTCCAGCCAAGTCGCGTGCTGGCCACCCTTAGCTGCTGCGTAATTCAAGCAGTACAACGGCTTTGTTAAGTAGAATAGGGTGTTTGTCAGTGTACATAAGCGGCTTGCATCGTAACGAGGACTGCTGCCTTTTTGAACCCCATACCCACGAAAACGCCCTAGGCTGCTCACGAGCAGCCGCGAGAAAGAACAAGAATAGACGGGCCGCTCCCGCGGGGATCTCGGGACGAATCCCGGGCATGGGGCGTTGAGAATTGGGTCGAATAGTTTCTGCCATGGGGCTAACGGTCTAGGATTTGCGCTTAGAGGTGAGATGTTAAGTTCCAGTTTCGGGTGCTGGGAGGGTCAGAGTAACTATTCAGAAAGTCCATTTCCATGATTGGGCATTGCCCTGCATGAGTCCCCCAAACTGCAGGTATTAAGAACTATTAATTCCTAGGCCGTACTGCACCGTGACAACTCAGGACCCGCCTGTATCTTCAAAGCATACTGCAAGGTTCCATCTGCTACTGAAGTTCAGCTATGTTCCATTACCCAAGCCCTAAGCTCAGAGAACTGAAAGCTTCAGCACTCGCAATACGAACACCTTGAGGCCGCGACCGGAATGTGACTTCCAACTCAGTCGTGACAGCCCAGGTGACTCCGAGGCCTTTTGTGCAGGCAACGTCTTTTGGGGCTCGGGGTTCCAGGATGTCTGCGCTCACTCTCGGACAAGCCAGGCGAGGCTATTGGTGCAGAGTCAGATAATGCGAGGATTTAAGGGTTAGGGAATTCAGGGTTTAGGGTTTGCGTGTACTTGGCACGTCCAGAACAAGCGTGTGCTGCTTGTTTGTGTTGCACGCACTGAAAAACAAGTTGCGAGCCTGCAGAAGCATTAGCCGTTTTCGGTACATACAATATTACTAGTTGCTGTAAACACCCCAGAAAACTACTTGCACTCTCTAGAATGACCAGGTGTTTTGTATACTCAATGTGCAACCATGTGCAACCACTAGTATAGCAAAACAGTGAAAAGACAAAGCTCCCTGATATGTCGCGATTAAATACGCGGCAAAAGTCTCTTCAACACTGACATAAATAACTATATATACATAGAGAGAGAGAGAGAGAAAGAGAGAAAGAGAGAGAGAGAGAGAGAGCGAGAGAGAGAGAGAGAGAGACTGAGCTCCATGCAAGGGTCATACCATTCGCCCTTGTCCTGCTTGAAGTCAGCAGATGCTTTGACCTTCAGGTTCACGGGGCATGTCCTCGCAGGCAAGCAGCTTGGGGCTTGTGGCAAAGACATGGGTAGTTGTCTAAATTAGTGTCCCCTTTGGGGGATCCTTTTTATAAGGGTGCCGTACTATATTGGGGACCAAAAGGGGAGACCCCAATTTAGAGAACTACCTACATGATCGATCTGATGTAGCAGGACTGTGAATACGAAGGCAATGAGCTCTGTTTCGGGTAGGCTGTGTGGGATTGACATCGTCCCGTCATGAAGCAGTAGCAGTACGGCATGCAGAAGCTCGCAACACCTTGCACACAGAGCCGAAACAAACAGCGTGCAACCCGAAATCTCGCTTGCCGCAGCTCTGGGCGCCTCATGCCCACGTCCATCCTGACGGCGGTGTCTTCCCAAGTGCTCTGCTCGTCGTACGAACCTGTGAAGTTGCCGAGTTCTGTTCTGGTCTCAGGCTGGAGTATGTGGAACTTGCCTAAGTCAAATCTGTTTAGGCTCCTGTAGAGCCCCCCCAGGGTCTAACGTCTTACGGCTCAGGGCGGCTCTTAAGGTTCAGGGCCGGACAATCGAAATTTTAGTGTGCACGACTGTTGGCTCTAGGAATCGGAGTTGACCATGTCGGATTCTATTTGCCCTACGGTGTAGGACTGTTCGGGTGGGCAATCTGAACACCTGCTTCTTTTGCTTCAAAATCAAACCCTGAGCCTAAACCCTAAACACTAAACCCTAGGGCCTAAATCCCTAAAATGCTTCGAGAAACCATCGATGACCAGGTCTTCCAGCTTCAGGCCCGCCAGCCCTGCAAAGAGGCCAGGCACTGCTGTCTCCAAGCAAGTTTTAAGTGCTTTTTGCGTACCCCAAACCCTGAACATCCCTAAACCCTAATGTATTCTAGATAAAGTCTTTTGTGTTCCAGCGACTCATAAGGCTTTAATCATTCTCGGGCTTTTTTGTTTGACGGTCAAACTCGGACAATGCCAGATTTTCGGGCATCAGGTTTGAGGGTGTTTCCGAGGTATCCAGCAGCCCGAAAACGAGACTAGGGCTGGGGGGGTTGTGTCCTATGTTGACAAATTTAAGAGCCCCTAATACACACTAGCACTATCAATTAATCAAGCCCTCTTTGATGAGGCCCGTTTCTGCTCGTTTCCACATGCTGTGCTGCGCCGCTTAATGATTGGACAGCATGGGAATTTGGTCTAAGCAGGTGCCTGTAGGACGAGGATACTAACATCTTCAGGTCCCCTCTGACACTCCCACTTGCAGGCTTCGCTCGGTTTGAGGCTTTGAAGTTCCGCAGTGGACCTCTCCAGAGTAAGAATGGTGTATTAAAGCTCAATAGCTGGGCTGAAGTTGCAGGAACCATACTGGGGATATGCTGTAAGTAGCACGACTACTCAGATGAAGCTCCGATTCCTTAAATTGATTCTTTTATTCCCCCACGCCCCAAACTGTCCATCGCCAAGACCGGATCTCAGCTTCAGGAACACACAACCTGCCTGACGAAATAGCCATCAACGCGAACATATCGTAATATGGAAACTGCAAAAAGTTGGATGGGCTAGGGCAAGTTAAGCACTAAAGAAATCTAGCAGAACAATAGAAAAAAAACATCGCTTGTGAGGGCGATAGGCTGAGGATGACGCTGGCGATTGCTGGAGAAGTGGTAGCCTGGATGATAATATTTTGGCTATGTAAATTCGCTTGTGCCACCCTCCTATCATGATGTTGATGATGATGAAGATGGACAAGATGATTATAGTGATGAGCGCGAGGCTGATGCTGCTAATATAGGTGCCTGAATAATAATTAGAATCGAGCACTAGACTATAATTGTAATAAGGAACCCCCGAAATAGTATAGGTAATGATTATGATAACGGTTGCTGAGCTGGATTTGCCAGACTAATTTCAAGCAATGTCCAGGCTGCAGCGGATCCTCGGAAAGAGTTATATGAATTTAGGGTTTAGGGATTAGGGTTAGGGTTTAGGATTTAGGGTTTAGGGTTCAGGGTTCAGGGCTATGGTTGACCATTGCAGGTCTGTTTCCCGGCACCGGGCACCGCAAGGAAAAAAGTAACGCCCATGGCCTACGACGGAGTCGATCTTCGCGTCCCTGAGCGAGACAGCATCACAAGTGTTTAGGGGGCCCTAAATGCTTCTAAACACACGTTCTCAACCGAAACCGTCTAGCTGAAGTCGCTGCAATGCCTGCCAACAAGCTGTTTAAGTTCTTTACAGCCTGCAACATCCAATCAAGTCCTCTAGGTAGGACCGTCCGTCGTTCCTGCTGCTTCTTGCTCTGACAACCTGTCGGACTTTCAGCGCTACCAAAAACAGAAACAACCAAATCTGCCAGTTGAGTCGAAGCCCTACACCCAGCAACAGGATTCCACAGACCACGTCAACATAGAGGGATCTTAGAAGCAACGTTCTCCGCAAACCTCGCAAAAAGGGGGCCCTCATGACGCAAAATAATATAGGGCTGCCAAATCCGTCCCTAACCCCTCAACGCCGCAACCCTAAACCCTAAAAACCCTAAACCCTAAACCCTTTTTTAAACCCTAAACCCTAAGCCGTTTTTAAACCCTAAACCCTAAACCCTCTTTTGAACCCTCAACCCTAAACCCTTTTTTTAAACCCTAAAAACCCTCAACCCCATGGGAGTGCAGCCTGGTATCTCCAGCCTATAGTCGCAAATTCCGGTGGGGTCTTTCACGTCCGCTGAGAAGGGCGGGGCCCTTGGAGAACATCGATGGTCCAGGGTTTAGGGGTTTAGGGTTCAGGGTTTTTTTCCCTCTCGCATGGCAGAGAACAAAGCTCATAGGCGAGGTTACAGAGGTTCCATATATCCCGGGTTTAGGGTTTAGGGGTTCTATTCTAGCAAACATGATATAACGATGCTGAACAAGAGCTATAAGGATTCCTAGCCATTAATGCACAAGAAATATCACGCCAACGTTTGAAACTGTTAACTACTACTGGGTAAAATGCGCAATGAGTTCAAAACAAACACCCCGTCATAACTAGAACTGTAACAACACGTAACACTTCTGGTTGATTCCGTCAAGGAAACCATGCTGTTTAATCAAAACCTACATAAAAAGGGGTAGTGACACGCTTGATATGTAGCAAGTAGGAATACTTACAAGAAGTCTGCAGATCAAAGCTGGCCAGGCTAAGTTCTTCTACTCTTCGACACGAGCAATGTTGGTTTTGTGGCCATATCACTCCTACATGCAGATACAGTAAGCAGCAGATACCAGCAGCGGTAGTAGTCTCAATCGTCCGTCACACTGTTGCCGGTTCTGACTGCTAGCATTGTCACTGTTGCCACACTTACAGCAGCAGCAATGCTAGCTGGTTCTGCTACTACACTGGCATAACAGCCCTGGCAAAGACAAGCGAATAGTCTTTGGAACTTGGGGCTGTGGAGAGGCACTTGCTTTGCAGACAGCTTCGGTGCCCCCTCGAATGCTTGTCTGGTCAAGACTTCAGCTGCTGCTTGAACGAAAAGATGACAGAAGGTCTCGACAAGAGATGGAACAAACACGAAGACGCTTCTGACTTCAGGAGGAAAGTCCCCAGGCGGCAAGGAGCTCTGAGTCCAAGGACTCGCGATCATACCGAGCGACGTGAGACCTATGATACCGATCACGCACATAGCACCAGCGAGCGAATCTGAATCTACTCCAAACTGCGTCGACGGGACATTGAAGTCACATGAAGTTCTAACTCACATTCAGACGTCCTCTAAACAATACAGTCACATAAGCAGAGACTGTTTGGGCTCAGAGCCCTCACGCCAAGCCCTGCCGCGCAACAGCATTGTAAGTCATGCATCGGCTCCACCATGGGGTCGTTCTTCTGCCTCAGTCATGGGGTTTAGGGTTTAGGGTTTAGGGTTTAGGGCTGAAGTCTGTTTTCTCGAAGGTCTCTCCTTGCTACTTCGGGCTGAAGCTCACGGAGGCCTCAACTACGCACCACAAACTTTTCATACTTGAGCTGACCCTAAACCCTAAACCCTAAACCCCAAACCCCAAATCCTAAACCCGAAACCCTAAACCCTAAACCCCAAACCCCAAATCCTAAACCCTAAACCCTAAACCCTAAGCCCCAAACCCCAAATCCTAAACCCTAAACCCTAAGCCCTAAACCCTAAAC